TCCCTCTCCCACATACACATGCAAGCACATGCAAATTTTCATTGGTAAAAGTGACTATGCAAATGGCAAATCTTTCATTGCATGTCAACTTGAATCCCCAAAACAACAAACCTCCTAAAATACTGCTTCCTGTTATCCATTAGGATTTGCATTAATTAGAAATAAACGCCACTTTTGGGAAGACCAAATTGTAGGCTGGCTTGTTGTTCAGCTAGGGAGGCATTGTCGTCATCGTGAATAAGAATGTGTATGGGTTGAGTAAGCACCGAAACAAAAAGCCCCTGAAACATTTGTGACTGCCTTTGCTTAAGGTAAATCCAGTCATACCTGTCTCTGGTTATAGCTTGGTAAGAAGCACACAGGTGCTTTCCTAACAGATGTTGCCTCTAACAACTGGAAACTGGTCTAAGCAACACCCATCGTGAACAACCCAAAATTACGGTTCATTTGTCATGGTGGATGGGGCGGCAGAAGCTCTTGTTTCTCTAGGTTTCTCTTATGGGTACAGAAGACTTCTGGCAGGTATTTAAATAAACCTGAACACTTAACCATAGGAAGTGGACTATCATAGCACATCTGGAAATTAGCTTTCGTCTGACCAGATCCCCCATCTCAACAAAGCTGCTGTGTGCAATTCCAGGGAAGCAGAAATATGGCCTAAGCAGCTACCTGGCATTGCCAGCAGAATCGATTGCTGTCTTTCTTATCATGTCAGAGAGTGCAAAGTGTGGCTAGAAAACCTTGCACTCCGGTGACGGCCAGGGGATGCAGGCCACTGCGAGTTAGGGCAGCCTTTGTACTGGGTCAGTCTTGGGTATGGGAGAAGCACATCTGCTATAAAATCATCTTGGCCCCTCATTTCTTTCTGATTCTCACATTAAGCAGAGCTCAAATTAACTGCGTATTTGTCTGGCAGGCCCATGTACAAATATTCTGGAGAATGAGTATGTCCCCAACTGCTCGCTTCACCTGAAATGTGTTTGAGTTACAATCAAACAAAGTGGAAACTAGAACTTTATTATCTGCTCGGTATTGCTATTACCACAATCCAGCAATATGCTATAATCCCTCCGCTTTTGTGCTGTTAATAAAAATGTGCCGAAGGGGGACTCTGTGCTGAGAGCAGTTTCAGCAGCTACTACAGGTCTTTTATGTTTTTCAGATGAAGTGCGACTTTTTCTGATTGAAATAATATTTGCCGACTGGAGGGATGATTCACCCCTCTCACAACCTGCTGTAGCCCTTCTTCTGGAGAAGCAAAGCTCGCTGGAATATTTCAAAGCGTTTCCATGCTCTGCTTTTATTACAGATGAATAGAGGGGCAGCTGCTGAACAGCTTCTCCTCTGCTTTCTGTCAGGGACTCTCAAACTGTGGCTCAGAATCATCCCAAACTGATTGCCAGCAGCTGTCTGGTTTTAAGCCTGTGACTCTAAGGGGACCCCTAATCCCTAACCCTGCCTGTGCTCTTTCTGATGAAACAAATATGCTTGCTTACTTGCACCTTGCTCTCTTTATAGGTCAAGAACCCCCAGCAGTCCTCCCGATACGTATTTTCATGGTGCTTCCTTGGAAGAGCCTGGAAACCTTGACCAAGAAGTGTGGAGTACAATGAAGGAAGTTACATTGTAAGTAGCCAAATATGTGGAAGATGGACTAAGGAATGAGGAGAACATGTGCAATTGTGCATTACACTCATTGGGATATTAGGACATCAGCAATGCTGGGGGTCTTGGTACAACTGCTGGTTGCCATGACAGTCAGCACAGATTAAAAGCTGGATGCCGGCAAGCTGCTGTAATGCTAATACTGTTTAAAGAATGGTCATAGTCCAAATATTACTGCCTGTTTTGCCTCCGTCAATATTTACCTCTTCGGTCAATGAATCCCAATATTAATCTCAAGAGAAGTTGACATCTTTTATTCCATCTGTTCTGGCCTTTTAGTTTCCATATTTCTATTTCCTTTTCTAAATCGTGGAATAAATGTGTTTGGGAAAGACTGTTAAAGCCAGGAGTGGTTGACATTGGTATCTGTGCAGGCTGCTTGATACCACATGTAGAAAGAACCCGGCCCTTGCTGTTCTTCAATGAGTGGGAAATGGGACCAACG